TTATTCCTTATATGTATCGGTATTGTGTTCCAAAGTGTTGATGCCCTCACAGAGAAACAGTGTTTACCAAAGGAACTGGACTTAAGAGGGACTACACAGTCCCCTCTTAGGGCAGACCTTGTGGTTCTGCTGTTTGAATTTTTCTGCTGTATAAAAGTGCAGAGTGGTGGGGGTGCCTTGCCATTTATAATCTTAAAAATGAGACATGCATCAGTGTGTTTTAAAAGATTTTCCCAGCTGAGCAGGTTATGTTTGTCCAGGATTTTGCAATGGTGGTATAGCTTAGGTTTTCTGTCCAAAACTTTGAGAGCTTGTTAATGAAGTGATAGGCCTTAATGTTGTGCTATTCATCTGGGTCCAGCTGGTCATACAGTATGTTAGGTGGGTAGGTCATATAGTCATATAGACTTTTGCTACAGGTGTTGTCAAACAGTTCCTTATATATCTAAAGTTTGCTAGATTGTATTTAGTTATTTGCAATACCTTTCTCACTTGTTTTTTGAAGGATAGAGTAGTGTCAGGGATAATGCCTGGATATTTAAAATGTGTAACTGTTTGAATGACCTCCCCAGACACATATACCTTGAGTTCACAGTGTTGGTCTTGCTAAAAAAATCATACAGACTGTCTTCTTAACATTTAGATATAGCTATGAGTCAGTAAGCCATTGATTTACATGAATCACTTAGTTTGGCAGCAGCTTGGGCCTTAGTTTTTGCATGAACAGAAATGACAGTGTCATCAGCGTACATTTGCACCTCACATCCAGTGCACACTGATGGCAAGTCATTTATATAAAGGCTGAATAGAATTGGGCCCAGGATAGATCCCTGGGGTACACCCAGTTCATTCCTCAGGGGTGGTGATGTCTCGCCACTTACCCTTACACACTGAACTCTGTCTGACAGATAGGAGCTCATTCAGTCTATTGCACTGGGTGAGAAATTAAAATAAGACATTTTGTGAATGAGTACTTGATGATTGACTGTATCAAAAGCTTTCTTAAGATCTAAGAAAGATTGCTCCAACAATGCCTCCTTTGTCCATTTTTGATTTTATATTTTCACAAGAAACAATTTGCGTCTCAGTGAAATGATTGGCTCGGAAGACCGAATTGCATGGGTGTAGTGTGAAAGGACTACAGATTAAAATGTCACAGTCAATGCTCAGCTACACATTCTCAGAGATCTTAGAATGACAGGTTAAAACTAATGGGCCTATAGTTATGTTTCATCAGTTGTGGACTGGCACAAAACAATGGCTGGTCTTCCAGTCTTTGGGAATTTTCCCTCCCTAAAAGAGTCGTTAATTATTTAGTAATTTGTCCCCTTGTGAGATGGTAGGCATGTTTCTTAGAAACAGAGAATCCAGTCCAAAAGTGGTCTTTTGATTTGGATTTTTTAAGAAGAATTATTGAATTACTTTGGATTCAGAAGTCTCTGTCAGGGAGAATAGAATACAGTGATGAGGTATATATGACCAGTTTGGGGACTTTTTTATAGTCAGCCTCAAAGAATTAACTAAATGGTATTAAAAATAGCCGCTATTTCCGCAGGTCCCTTACATAAGGTTCATTGTTATTGATCTCCAGCTGCTTTGATACGTTATGCCTTTCGCCCTGTTAGGTTCTGCAGACAGTCCCAGATTTGGTTTATGATTTCCCTGTAGATCATGAATGAGATTAACAAAAAATTGGATTTAGCTGCCTTGATTCCTTTGTAATCTGTTTCGTAAGGACACACATACTGTATATGCCTATCTATGTCACTAAATTTGATTTAAAGAGAGTCCTCTAGGCAGTGATTCTCAAATGGGGTGTACGCGGACCCCTATGGGTACGTTGGTGGTACTGCAAGGGGGGTACGTGAGGTTAAAAATAAATAAAAGGTAAATTAAAAAAATTACCATGCATGATACAAGAACAATCTTACAATAATTAATAGAAAACACAATTTTTACATAAAATATTCCTAGAACCACTAAGGGGGTTCCTCATATAAAACATTTACATTTGTGTTTGTTATTTATAAGTTTTTAGATATGATATAATTTTGTTCATGTTTAAACAATGAAAACTAATGGAAAACATTGTGCATGATAAAGATGGGAAAATATCTTAGTTTGTTGTAATTCATGCATTAAAGAGTTAATAAGATCAAAAAGAATATTGTAATTATATATAACTTCTGTCAAAAACCTGGGTCAGCTACTTCTGAAAAATGTGTTCAAGGGTCATTACTGAAAAAAAGTTTGATAAGCACTGCCTTTGAGCATTATCTCTCTCCTTCAGATTTCCTGATGTCACTATTAATCCAGGGGAGTTTTGTTTATTTTTTGGCCTTGTAGATTTGCTTGTCCTGAGAACGTTTTGAAAATTGTTGACATAAGGCATGTGGTTGGTGATCCACAATCTGGTACCAGAGTACAAGTTTGGCTCCAGTTAATGTTTGTAAT